CTGGCTCCCACCTTCTGCTTCTCGTCTCCATGCCTTGGCTACTCCAGGGACCTGGCAGCCTCTGTCTGGCTCATTTCACTCTGTGACCCTCGAGGTCCTCCATGTCAGGATCCCCTTCCTCCCCAGGGCTGAGTGACCCTGCTGTGGTCCTCCCAGCGTCTTTTTCCTGATGCCCCTTTGCCTTGCCTGCCAGCAGGCCACTCCACTTCCTGTTTTGCTCCACCTGCCCTTGTGGTCTGTTCATCAGAGTACCAGGCCTGTCCCCAAAGTGGCCTCGATGACTCGAGGGAGGGAAGAGTGCTTTAAGGCCCTTGACATTGCCAGACTTCCTTCCCCAAGCTTGTGCCCTCGTTCCTTTGCCAGGCTGAGGACAGCACTGGGGGATGCCTCCCAGGGCATGCATGTGTGGGTGCTCTCACTGCTGGGGGTCTCCTTCCTCCTCCTGGGCCTCGTGCATGTGGTGGATAAGCAGCAGCTCGCTTTGGACTCGCCTGTCCGTGAGGACAGGTGTCAGGCAGCCTCCCAAGCAGTGAAGCTTTGCAAAGGCGCCTCAAGCCGCGGCGGCAGTCGGCAGCCTGGGAGAGCTGTGGAGCAGGAGTCTTTCCAGCGTTCCCCCAGCTGCTGGTTCCCCTCCAGCAGACATGGCTCCTAGAAGACTGAGGACCTTCTGGAATCCCGGCTGCATTGGACTGTGACAGAGAAGGGGGGAAGGGACTCAAAATGGTTGTCCAGACTATGTGGAGGAAGCGTGTCCACACTCCATCTGTGGCCCACTTTGCAATAATGGACCCTCGGGGAGGCCCTGGAGCAGACTGGATGGTCAGGGGACACCTAACCTGTGGTGGGGTCACCAGGAGGGGTGAAAGTCAGCTCTGCCATCAGCAATGGACACGGTAGTGCCACCTCTTCGTGTGGTCCCTTCCTACAGAGACGTTGTCCATGTCGTCTTTGGGGAGAGGGGAATGAGTGCCACCCAGACTGAGGTCGGGGTGACTCTCCCCCCAGGATGTGAACCAAGAGGTGAGGCACTCCCAACCTAGGGACAGTCCTCCCTATGGGACCGGGGCCTACCCACCACCCCAGCTCAGAGGGAGGGCCACATCTGCCTGCTGTGTGGTCACCCCAGGCTGGACCTGAGGAGACCCCTGGCCTTCCCTGGGGATACTAGTCCTCAGCCACCTCCCTCCCTTGGGCTTGCATCAGGAAGGACATCCGGGGCTGGTGGGCAGGCTGCCAGCAGAGCTTGGAACCAGCTCCTGAGTTAGGCTGGCTCCCAGCTTCTTGCAGCCGAGGGCGTGTCCTGAGTTCAGGTGGGAGTGCTGGCGGCACCTGTGCCAAGTCAGGAAGTGGGTCCGGGAAGCGCAGGAAGCCAGAACTGAGCTCTGCTGGCCCCGCAGGTCCCTGACCCAGAGCTGCCCCTGGGGCCACCTGCAGGAGGGCAGCCATGGCAAGCTGCACTGAGCCGGGGGCTCTCCTCTTCAGACTCACGCAGAGACCCTGGGGGGCTGGCATATGGGTCAGCCAGTGGGATCCTGAGTGACATCTGTGACTTCAGGAAGTGTCCACAGAGAAGGGGGCTCCTGTCCTTGATCCCATCCTGTGTGGTGGAGGCCCTGCAGCTGGTCTTAACGCCCCCCCTGGATCACTGGTAGGATCGCTGTTGGAGGGGGAGATGGCCAGTTCGAGAGGTGTCAGGTTTCTGCTGTGGTGGAGCTGTTGGCCTTGTCCTGCAGGCCTCGGGACTGTGACCAGAGAAATGTGCTTCTCTAACAGAGGAAGTCCTTGCCCTCGGGCCTTCTATCACTTGCAGACTACAGTATCCAGGCCACGATGCTCTTGCACACTGAAGGCTCTGAGAGGTCCTGCAAATAGGAGCCAAAGATGTTTCACCCAACTGGCAGAAGGAGTGGGCTAGACTGCCCACTGCACCGCTCTTTACTGCTTAGGGGTCCCTTTGTTCAGAGGAGCAGTGTTGGGGGCAGCAGCTTCACACAAACGGAAATTGCTGCTCTTACCAATTATCACATCTCAAAGCACAGTTTCTTAAGAACTTAGTTCATAATGGTTGGTTGGAGATTTCCTGGCTTCCTAAACATATTAAATTGTCAGAAATAGATACTGTGAAACCTCACACCCAGTAGCTTTTTAGACAATCTACCTCAAATAGGAATGCTCCCTGCAGAGGTAAACTCTAGTCCAGTCGCAGGATGACTGTGCACGTGGTGGCGTGGAGCCTGAGGCGCTCAGACCCACGAGGAGGGGCAAGCAGGCAGAAACAAACGGCATGGCACCGCCAACTGAGGAACTGTCACAGGGTGGCTCCTGCTGTCCCTGTGGACATGGGAACTGGGGCAGCTTGCCTAAGAACCCCTGACTTGGCCAAGGCAGGATTCAAATCCAGAGCAGACGGGTCCGGAATTGCAGCTTCTCTGGGCTATGCCCCAATGCTGGGGATGGCACTGCTGAAGGAACTCAGATGCTGGGGCGGGCCTGGGGGTTGCTACTGGCATAATTGTGCCCCTCGATTTGTATGTTGGATTACTAGCCCTGAGAACCCTGAGATCCTGACTCGGAGACAGGATCTTGGGTGACTTGTGTTAACAGGCCGTCAAGAGTGGGTCCTGACAGTGAGCATCCTCACCAAGAGGAGTGACTGGGACATGGTGGGAGCAGAGGGAGGTCCCCAGGTAAGACCAAAGGCTAGGTGGAGGAATGCCTGAGGTGGCCCACAAGCCACCTGCAGCCGGGACAGGGTCTCCTGGCAGCCACAGGAGCCTGCCCTGCACACACCTGATGGTGGACTTCTTGGGATTCCTGTTGGCCGAGCCCCTAGGTTTGTGTGCGCTGCTGCTGCAGCAGCCCTAGCCAACTCGCGTGCAGAGACCCCGCAGCCTGCTGGGGCAAGTGGAGAGCCCCCGCAGCCAGGGTCCTGTCTCACACCGGCAAAGCCCTTTCCAAGGCCATTATCTGCAACCCCCAGTGTTGTAATTGAATGCCCCATCCTCAGTCCAAGGAAACTGCACTTCTCAGGGGTTTATAGCCTTTTCCCCCCCTCTCAGCAGGCCCTGGTTTGGGGTGAGGCCTGCTTTTTTTTGAGATCTGAAGAGCCTCCAACCTTCAGGAGGCCAGGAACTGGGCAGGGACCTCTGCAACCCCCACAGCAGGTGGCCACCAGGACCAGTGGGGCCTGCCCTGCCTGCAGGCCTCGGTTGAGACTGTGGGACAGCAGGGGCATGGCTGGTGCCAGGGTGTGGGAGCCAAGTCGTCAGGAAATGGCAGCGCTTCCTGGGAGGTGGGAGAGAAGCCCAGGAACACAGTAGGGGCATGTGGCGACCCCAGGACCTGCACCATGGTCTGCCTAGCCAGGGGGCCTGTAGAGAGCCCCACTGTGCGCTGCCACAGGCTGTGGCGCTGCATGAATGAGGGCTTCCCAGGTCTGCAGCCTGCATGGGCAGAGGGGCAGCCCGTCCCCAAGATGCTCCAGGGCCCCAGGAAGGCTTGTCCTCCCAGCCTCGGAGGGCACCGAGAGTGACTCAGGGCTGCCCGGTGACTACACCGTCACGGGGACAGCGATCTCCTCAGTGCCGAGGCTGGACCACAAAACTGTTAAGGATGTCATACCAGCACAACAGCCAGGCTGCTGGAGGTGCAGGACTGTGTGCTCCCAGGTCAGAGCGCTGCCACCACAGGGTCCTGTCCAGCCCCTGTCCCATGTCCTCCATTTGGCCAGTGGCTCACAGGAACCTAATTTCAATCCCTGAGCTTTCAAAAAAATGTCACCAAGTCATTTCTACCCCATTCTCCATAGACTGTTTTAACTGGGTTTATGTGAACTACTACTTTCTTAGCTGTTGAAGGGCCTTTACTTATTTATATGCAGTGCTGAGAACTGAACCCAGTGCCTCGTACATGCTGGGCCAGCGCTCCATCACTCAGCCCCAGCCTGAAGCAAACTGTTTTTAAAGATGGTCACAACACCACCCTCTGCCCCCAACTCTTCCTCCCAAAGGCAGCTCAATCCTTCCAGCTGGATCTTGGGGAGTCTGTGCCCATATTTCCAAACACTTGCTTATGCTGCTAGTTTGAGGCACACCCTTCCATGGATCTGCAGATTCGTCTCCCCCACGTGTAGGAATCCACTTCTACTCTGACCGCTCCAGTGTAGCTAAAGCCAATCCTACAAGCTTGGGAAGCTGAGGCAGGAGGATCGTGAGTTCAAAGCCAGCCTCACCAACTTAGCAAGGCCCTTAGTAAGTCTAAATAAAACATAAAAGAGGATGTGGTTAAGTGCCCCTGGGTTTAATCCCCAGTACCAAAAAAATATATAATAATGTCCTGAGATAAATGGATCATCTTCAGAAGAATGATAACTCTCATTCTCTCACCTACAAAAGTAGATGGATCAGGGAGCTAAAGCCATAAAACTCTTAACAGGTGTGAATTCTCACCATCTTAGATGTCACAGTGGAACACCAAAAGTAAGAGCAACAGGAAGAAACACCTTGGCTTTGCCAAAATTAAAAATCGTGCCTCAAAGAACTAAAGGAACTGGTTAAGAGCTCAGTATTCAGAGTGAATCTACAACTCAACAAAAAAGAAAACCGAGGTGCTAGAGTGCTTGCCTAGTGGGTAAGGGCTTCCCAGAGCTGCCGGCTGACCAGCAAATACTGGACAGACGTCCAACGCCAGCAGTCATCAAACACAGACCCAAACCAGTGAGGGGCTGGGGATGGATAGCATGGCTGCGACTCTCGGCAGTGACAAGTGAAGACTACTGGCGAGGACCCTGCGCCCTGGGGGACAAGGAGCAGGGCGGCTCCTCCAGGTTAAGGCAAGGCTGCCCCACGACCCCACAGCTCTTCTCCTGGGCATGCACCCCAGAAAAGTGTGGGTGATGCTGGGACACGCGCACCTGTGTCTCAGGCAGAAACAAGCGTCCACGCCGTGTGGAGACCCATGCACACTGCAGGGGACCTGAGAGACACGAGGAAGACAGGAGGCCAGACTGCAGTTCCACTTTTATGAATTGTCCAGACCAGGTGGCACCAAGGCCTTTGCTGGCTGGCCTGGAACGGCCTTTGTCTGCTCCTGCCACCCACAGGGGAATCTGCTTAGCATCTGGAAAAGCAGAGGGAGGGTGGGAGCAAGGCGCAGGACTTGCAGGCTCATTTCCCATCCTCGCGGGCTGCCACGAAGTTCAACAGGTCAATGGCCGTGACAACCCCGAACACCATCTGCCGCTCACTGGACTCGCCATTGCTGTGGTCTGGGGAAGAAGACAGGGCCACGGGTCAGGAGGCACCTGGCACAAAGCGGATCTGAGGCAGCATGCCACCCCAGGGCTGCTGCAGGCCGGCCAGCAAGGAGGCTGTGCTAGCCCCTCCCCAGCCTCCTGTGGGTAGGGAGCACGGGGCAACCCAACCAGCCCAGGGCCACGTTGTCTCCCTCCAACCGGAGCATGTGGGCAGAGCCCGGCTGCAGGCTGACCTAACCTAGGCCCCCAGAACAGATGGTGTGTGTGTGTGTGTGTGTGGTGGGGGGCCAGCACTGCTGGGCCCATGCCCCAGGTCACACTGGAGGTCTCACCACCTCAGGACAAGCCTTGGCCCTCTCTAGGCCAAGGCACCCTAGCGGAAGGCACAGGCCATTGGTGCCCTGAGCAACACCTGCTCGGCCTCTGCCTGATTCTGTCGGCAGACGCAGTCCTTTCTCTGGGGCTGTCTTCAAATCAGTGCCAGCCCAGCCCCACATCACAGAGCCAGCAGGCAGAGGGTGCTTCCGGTGGTTAATGTTCATCATCAGCTTGGCTGGGTCCTCCGGAATCTCGAGGTCTGCCCAGATAGTACTGGGATGTGTCTGTGAGTGTTCTGGATGAGCTCAGCACCTGAGTTAAGAACCCTGGAGGGCAGGTCCCTACCCGGTGTGGTGGGCCTTGTCCAATAAGTGGAGGGTCTGGACCAGCAAGGCCCGTCTCCCAGAGGAAGGGGGTTTTTCCCGACTTTGGACTTCCCTGCAGCTCTTGGGATGGAAACCTCCAAAATCACAGGCCAGTTCCTCACAACTCCTGTCTTTCTACAGATACCTACACTGTCAGCCCTGTTCTCTGGATCCCCTCCAGGCACACAGAGGGCAGGGAGGGCAGAAGGGACGACTACCCTGACCCTGCCTGCTTCCTGCCTGCGGCAGTGCTGCCTCTTCTGCTTTCATGAGCAGAGCCCCTCGGGACCAGGGAGGCCCACAGTGGGCAGGGACCTTGGTGTCCCAGTACGAGCCTCAGAAAAACAGAATCCAGAACAGAACCGTTGGCCTGGGCTGCTTTTGCCCTATGGACCCCCTAAAACCCGGCTCCACAGAGGACCAGTGGTCAGTGTTTGAGGTCTGCAGATCATGCAGTCTGTCACAGCCATTCAACTCTTCCAATGTCACATGATGGAGCCCAGAGTGGGGACAAGCAGGACAAGTTCCAACAATGCCTTCTCTGTGGGGCTGGGGTGCGAACACTGGCTCCCATGCCCGAGGCCCTGGGTTCCATCCCCAGCACCATAGGAAAAACAATAAGAACACTTTGTGGACTCTGACGTTGGCACCCACTGTTTTCTGAGGTATTCAGATATAAGTAAATGTGGGATCAGAGGAGTACCCCCACCCAAGCTCAGGGTGGGACCCTGGATGCCTGTTGCCTCAGGAGGCTGTGGTTCTGAATGGAGGGCTATTTTTTCGAGGGGTGGGATGGACGTACATACCTGCAGGCCCCCCCACCACTCCTGACCAGGCCTGGTCCCGTGCTGCAGAGCCAAGGACGGGACAGGGTTAGATTGTGGTCGCCCCAGGCCCTCACTGACCAGCCTTGGCTGGGCCCCAGGGCCCCCTGCTTCCCAGGCACTTAAATCCTGGGCTCTTAGAAGGCGAGGAGGACCCTGCTGGCCTTCCGATGCCCAGGAAGCAGCTGTGTGAGCAGGGACCACGGTGCCCCAGAGCGGGCTGGAAGCAGACACCAAGGTACAGCCACAGGCAGTCCCTCAGGGCCAGCACCCAAGGGCAGGAGGCTGGCAAGTCAATGTGGCCTCTCTTGGGGACACAGGACATTGCCAGCAGCCAAGACTACAACTGTTCCAGGTTTTCCTGGGATTGTCCCTTACAGTGCCAGAGACAGGCTAGGTGTGGTGGCAGACCCGTGATCCTCACTACTCACAAAGTAAACTTGAGCTGGCAGTGGTAGGGTCCTAGCATGAGGCCCTGGGTTCAATGGCCAGTACAGCAAAAAACAAGCATCCCTGTGACTGCCTGCCACCTAGGGCCAAGAGCCCACTGAGCCTGAGCCCCTGCCCAGGTGACAGCGGGGTTTGCCAAGCACCGCCTACCCTGCACATCCCTGGAGACGTGCCTGGGATCACAGGCTCCCGTGGCCAAGAGCCTGGGGTGGGGAATACACAAGTCAGCACCACCCATTCCCCGTCACCCATGAAGGACAGGGCTGTCTTCTGCACACAGCAGGACTGTGCACGTGGAGGCCCAGGCCAATCAGCACCCCACCCTGAGGACAGAGCGCTCTGTGGACCCACTTACACTGGATCTGCTCATGGACCACCAGGGCAAAGTGGTCAATCTCCAGGACGTGCGAGAGGGTGCCCAGCGTGTCCGTCAGGCGGATCTGGAAGGGAACCGTGGAGCACTCACTGGAGACGGAAGGCTGCTGCCTGCAGCATAGCCACCCACAGTCCCTCCACGGAAAGGACGTGGGGTGGGGGGAGGGCTGGCAGGGCACTGCCACGCCAGTCAGAGGATGGTGCAGCATTCAAGAAACACACTCAGATGAGCTGTCAGTCAGGGTAAGGGGGCCAGCAGATGCTGTTGGGAGGGGGTCAGAATGGCAGCCAGCTTTGTGAGCCCAGATCAGGGGTCGCAGGGCTGAGGAGGGAGGGATTGGTTCTGGGATTCCTAGGGCCATACACACTGGGGTCTGTGACACTGTGAAGACTCCCACTGGGGGCAAGCTCACACCTTGGAGGCATCTGTGGGACACAAGGTGCTGGGCCAGGAAGCCCCCTGCCCTCAGAGGGGCCCACCCTGCAGCCCTCACACCCTTCCCAGGGCCTGGTGGGGGGTTCTCCTCTCTTCCCAGTCCCTCAACACACTGGGCGCGGCCACCTGACCCAGGGGGAAAATGGGCAGCAGCCCAGCCCAGATGGAGGGCTAGCAGCAGAAGTGGCCCCCTGCAGGCTGGAGAGAGCTCCCGCGCCTGGCACAGACGAGGACACGCACAGGAGGCCGAAGAGCAATGGACACACTCCCCGCCAGGAAGGAGTCGGAGGTCAGCGCATGGCTTCCATGAACAGCCACAGGCAGGTCAGTCTTGCTGGTGAGGAGGCGAGCGGGGCAGGAAGAAGCGCTGGGGCTGATGGACGCGGGCGGTGAGGGTTTCCCAGGGGCATTTTACGTCAAATCATGGAACTACATGCTCAGCACCCACTGTGTGCGACCACACCTCACTTAGGAACAGAAGAGGTGTGAAGGAAGGAAACTTCCAGAACTAGTAGGCAATGGGGAAGGCTGATCAGGAGGTCAAAGCCAGCCTCCGCAACTTAGGCCATGAACAACTCAGTGAGACCTTGTCTCCAAGTAAAATACCCCAAAGGGGCTGTGAATGTGGCTCAGTGGTTGAGTGCCCCGGGGCTCAGTCCACAGTGTTAGAAACAAGACAGACCAAGGCTGGGACAGACACCCGCCCTCTGCAGAGGGGCCTGTGGTCAGGGAGGCCCAGGAGGCCAAGTGAACAGCAGGAGAGCCAGGCTGGGAGGCCTTGCCATGTGAGGGGACAGTGGGACAGGCCAGGACTCGGCATAGGGAGGGGCAGGGATTTCGGTTTGAACTTAGGCAGGCTTTGTGGGGGTTAGAGGCCCAAGGGCCCTGTGAGGACCACAAAAGAGGCCGTGACAGGTGACGGGAAGAGGGAGGGCCGTTCTGGCAGTGTCCGTGGGTGTGCGAGACGCGGGAGAGGTCAGGTCTGCCGCCTGCTCTGGCAGAGCCCCTCAGCTCAGCAGCCTGCACAGCCAGCGCTCCCTGTTCCAGTGCACAGGGTCTGTGTGGAGAGCCAGGCTCTGCCTGGGGCCGGCAGAAACAACGCCAGGCGCTGCCAGGACCTGGCCAGCACAGGGCCTGCTCTGGCCCGTCCCTGAAGAGCTGGGTTCTTATGAGGGCACCAGGTACACTAGGTGTTCTCCCACGGAAGCAGACACAACAAAGATGAAGGGTTGAGAGAAAGACCATCTGCGGAGGCCCTTGGGCTGCATTGGTGGTCCCCAGGCTGCTGCTGACCCCAGGCCCCACCACGCAGCACCTGAGGGGAAGCGACCCTGGCCAGAGCTGCCCTTCTTGGCTCTGCATTTGCACCCTGGGCTTTGATGGGGTACAGCTGGCACCTGAGTGGGGCTACAGCCAGGGACCTGGTCCCCTTCCCCAGGAAGCACTTGTGCCCTGCTCTGAGGACAAACCAAGGCTGGAACAAATACCCGCCCTCTGCAGGTGCCCTGGAGAGAGGCAGAGGGTCCTGTGGGCAGGGGCTGCTCTACTCAGGGCATACCAACCGGTTTGAACTGCTTGTAGAGGACTTTTCGGACTTGGTCTGACGGCTGCACCTTCCCAGCAAGCAGGGACGACAGCATGTTCCCAAGAGTCACCATCCCCAGGATGGCCCTGCAGGGGATAGAGAATGGGTGGGGGAAGGCAGGGGTCAGACTTGCCCACAGCTACACTGGGGGTCTGTGGCCTCCACATGGCAGGAACAGAGATGCCCCAGGACATGGTGAACTCAAGTCCTGGACTATTTCTGTTCTCACAGGTGTGGGGACTCCCAGGACTTTAAATGCTAGACGTGGGACAGCTGGTCACCTGGGCATAGCTGCAATGGACCTCTCCCGTGAGACACACCCCAAGGTGCCTGCCACCTGCCTCCTGGGCAGAGGCCCAGGGCAAAAGTGTGTACGTGAGCAATGAGGCAGTGAGCTTGGAGGCCGCGGCCGGAAGAACCCCCCATTGCACCTGCTGCCGCTCCAGGGGCTGACCAGCGGGTAGCCAAGGTTCTGAACACTATGCACAGTGACCACAGCCTAGCAGCATGGGCCTCAGCTACCTTGTCTGGTGACACCACACATAGGGCCCAGAGGACGGAGCTCCGCACTGGGGTGGGGTGGGGGGAAGCTGGGACTGACCCCGACTCCTCAACCACAGGCGCCTGGTCGAAGCCCTTCTCGCGGAGGATGGTGATGGTGTGCTCACAGGTGACGGTGGGCAGCACAGTCAGCGGGGCCGACAGGCTCAGCTCCTGAACTCGCAGGTGCCACCACCTAGGGAAAGGGAAGGCCGGGGACCAGTGCTTCACTGCAGGCCTCACCACAGGGGCTACGGGGACCATGCACCCTGCCCAGGCGCTGTGTCCCTGCTCAGGACGTCCTTACCACGGCCTCTTCACCAAGAGGTCCTCCTCCTTCAAAAAGCCCTTCTGCAGCATCCACTTGTCACTCAGGAACTTGGACCTGCAGGGATTGTGGTGTCACCAAGGCCAAGGCCCCTACCACAGCCTCTGCACACGCCAGGTGCACACCCTGTGCACTCAGGGACGTGGTTCCTGGACCTTACTAGTCCAGGGGACAGTGAGAGCCTGGCAGCAGGTCCAGGGTTCAGGAGGACCTGGGCAGGAACTGCAGGAGGAAGGGGCATCTGGTCAGCCAGGACACCATGCTTGGGCTGATGGGCTCAGAGCCTTGGGCAAGGTTGTTTTCTGGGGCCTCTGTGCTCACAGCCCCTCAGGGTAGCCCTAGGTAGCCTCTTCCTTGGCCTCCAGGTCTGCTCAAAGGACAGCAGAGGAAGCCACACAGCTGCTGCCACCTCCTAAGAGGCAGCCAAGTACCACCACAGTGGGGCAGGGCGACCCCTGTGCCTGAGGGCACACACGCACACTGACCCCTCACATTTCCTGCCCCACGCACACAGCGAAACCACTCTCACAGACCAGGCTGCTCGCCAGCTCACAGGTAGGCCCAGCAGCCCACCAAGTGCTCAGGGAGACGCACTGCTGGGGCAGGCAGGAGCCCTACTGGGGGCCACCTGGCAGTGGGCACCCAGGTATGAATCATCCCACATCTGAGAACCCACCTGGGGGTGCCCACCCACTATGCCTGCCCAGCAAGGGCAGCAGGGTCATGCAGAGGCTCAGGCCAAGAGGAAGCCCTGTGATTAAGAGAGGGAATGGGGGATGGATGGCCTGTCCAGCCCTGCTGCTCCACTGATCACAAGGCCTGCTGCAGGGCAGCTTCCCCCTGCTTCAGCGGGGCCTGGGGTGAGGCACTGCCCCATCGGGAGGAGCTGGAAGCTGAATGGCCACTCAGGGGGCCAGGTCTGTCCTGTGAGTCGAAGGCCATGGCAAGCCACAGCAAGTTCTAAGGGACCCCAGCCAGGACTGGCCCTGCCCAGGCTCTCAGGTCCAGGTCAGCAGGTGCCTGGATGGTGCCACACACTGGCCCATGGAGCTGAGGCCTTGAGCAGCGATAGGGACAGAGACGGGCCCCAGAGCTCCTGGGGCCCCACCACCTCCAGCTTCCTGCCGCCGGCTCCCTGGTGAGGCAGCGCAGGGCGGGACAGGGGCCAGGTGGTGTCGAGGTCAGGGGCAGGGCTGGAGGACAAGGGAGCAGGGCTCACATGTAGTTCCGCACGGAGTCGGGCAGGATGACCACACAGCGCTGACCCTCCTGCAGATCCTGGGCCGCCTTCACAGCCACAGCCATGGCGCTGCCGGAGCTGCCACCTGCCGAGGACCACGCAGCTGGCCATCTACACGCCTGGGTATGTGCACACCCGCACGCATGCCTAGGTACCCTCAGAGGCCCTGTAGGACACTGGCACCGTGTGTGTGCTCCTTGCCCGTGTGTGCCTGTAGCACCCTGACCTACTCTGGGCGGAGCTGTGGGCAGAGGAGCAGGGCCTGCAAGGACCCACACATGCTTGACATTCCCGCTGAGCGCGAGTAAGAAGGCCCAGGAGGAGGTGAGACTTTCTGATCGGCCAGGGCAAGGCTGGTGACAGGGGATGCCCAAGATGGGCTCTGGGTCCCACACAAACACCCCTGGTCCTATTTGAGTGCTAGAGATAGCCTGCCGTCTCAGCGGCTGCTCATGGTCACCCCACGAGGAGGTGGGTGACACCAGGTCCTGCCAACTGTGCCAGACCCTAGGAGCCTGAATCCAGGGGCTGCAGCTGCACCTCCATCTGGGGCACATCTGGGCTGCGTCTGGACTTAGCTCTAAGTGGCCACAAGAGCGTTGTCTGCAGGGAGACCCTCCTCTCCAGGGAGGCAGAGGGCCTGCTGCCTGGCTCCCAGGGCCCAAGGCCAGGGAGCAAGTCGCCTTTCCCCAAAGCAGCGCTTGGCAGATTCTTGTCATCAGCAGGGGCTTGGTCCCAGTCTTCAAGGTGGGACTGGGTGGCAGGGACTGGCTGCATGGAGGGCAGTTCCCACACATGGTGCTTCAAGTGGTAAACCCTGAGGTTTCACCAAACTGGCCCTGCTGTCCTGCACGGTATGGTCCCCAGTGCTGCTCTGTCCACCCTGAGCAGGCGGCTGAGGGCTCAGGTGAGGCCGGTGAGCCTAGTCCTGGACGGGCCTCTGGGCCACAGAGAAGGGGGCTGACAAGAATCTCCATCCATTTTCTTCGGGGCCACAAAGGTGGAGGGAGACCTAGCACAGCATCTCCAGGGCCCTGGGGGCACCCTGTCCTGGCTCTGAACCCTGCTGACGAGGAGCCCAACCACAGACAGGGCTGGTCTTGACTGAGAAGAACTCCGAGAGCTCTGCCAAGAGCCCTGCCCCGCCCACCCTCACCTGTGCAGGTGAGCACGAGCTAGAGCAAGAGCAAGCAACTGCTGCAGAGGAAGGCCAGGGCAGATGGCCCCCAAGCAGTGCACTGCTGCGGGCACCTGCCCCAGGTGGCCTAGGAGCTGGCAGAGGGCCTGTTCCCCGCTGCACCTGCCCCACCCCCCAGGGCGCTGCCCCTCACCACACAGCAGTCCTTCCTGTGCGATCAGCATGCGGGCGAAGGCGAAGGACTCCTCGTCGTTGCTCTTGAACCACTTGTCCACCACCTGTGGCCAGACACCATGGACGTCGCAGGGGCAGGGACCACCTAAGACTTCTCTGGGTGACTGTGCCCCCAAAGAACCCAGCATTCCCGCCTGCAAACCTGGCGCGCTCTGCCCTTCCTGTTCCAACATGCTTCCCAACTACAGCCTCTGCCAGGACTGGGGGCTGCTAGAGGGCCTGGCGTCTTACTTGGCCTTTCCCCCACCGCCCGGCCACAGTGAGCCGTGGAGGCAGCGCCAGGGCGTGAACTTGGGCCTGGTAGTGCCCCTTGCCAGGACTTAACCCTGAGGACACCTGCTTTCACTTATTTTTTTGAGTCGAGGTCTTACTAAGTTGCTGAGGCTGGCCTAGAACCTGCGACCCTCCTGCCCCAGCCTCCGGTCACTGACCCCAGTACCAGAAGCCCTCAAAGTCCCTATGCCAGTGCTTATTCTTCCGTCCCACTCAGTGGAAAGCCCGTGCCCAGGCACCAGGCTGCAGCTGCCTGGCCGGGCAGTGCTCTGGCCCAACCTACCGCCCTGTCCAGCACCGTGGGGATGAAGTCGTAGCCAATCCCTTCCACCTCGTAGAAGGTCTGGTCCGTCTGGTTCAGCTCTTCGGGCTCCGCAAGGATGGACCCTTCCGGGTCCACCCCGATGATCTGCAGCGTGGGTGGTCTTAGTGTTCAAGCTGGAGACTAAACCTCATGTGGACTTACTGCAGGAGCCACCCCCACTGCTAACACGTGACTCCTAATGACCCATCCACAGGGCACACATGGTGCTCTGGGGCTCAGAGGCAGGAAGAATGCCCAGAACCAGGCCCAGAGTAGGAGCTGTGACAACCCATCTGAAGCAGTGTCCTGAGCAGGACCCTCAGAGGTGACCTCCCATGGTTCCTCTGGAAAGGACCCCTCCGCACTGGGGCAGCCAGAGCCTTAAGGGACACAGGGAAGCTCTGGACATTGACCTCTTCCAGGTTGGTGGGCAATACCATCCAGAAAGAGTAGCCAGCCAGGTATGGCTGCAAGCCATCCTCAGACCAGCCCTGAACCCCAAATCCAGGGCCTGTCTCAACTCAACCCCCAGGCTGACCCTCATCTCCACTTAGCACAGCAGACCCCACCCCTGAAGCTCCTGGACTGTCATCCAGCAACATTTGCCAAACATCCCTGGGGGTGCAGATGGCAGTGCTCTGCGGCTCAGCTCGGGGCCTGGTGAGAAAGGCCAGTGGACCAGGCCTCAGGCCCAGCGGTGCCAACCCACCCCTGGCGCTACTCACTCTGCACCCAGGACACTTCTCCTTCAGCTTCCTGGCAATGCCTGTGATCGTGCCCCCCGTGCCCACAGTAGCCACCAGCATGTCCAGCTTCCCTGGTGGAGGGAGAAGGTCTCAGGCCAGTGTGGCCAGCCCCCACTCCTCGCAATACCCAGAGCAAGCAGCCCAGTGATCAAGTGCCCCAAGGAAAGTCCAGCCTCAAGCGCAAATGGAGCTCACGGCCTTCACGGGTCCGAGCAAGAAGACAGGGACGATGGGTTTTGCCCTGGCTCTGCTCAGAGACCCTCAGCCCTCAAAGCCCCCCATGGATGAGTCTGGAGCTGATGCCCACTGGGTGCAGGTGGCAGGACCGTGTCCCTTGTTGGTGATGGGAATAGTCCACTGAATTTTAAGAGGAAATGGGGCAGACTGCTCAGGCAGGGTGCTAGCACGCCTGGGCCACCCCAGACCCTCCAGGCGAGTCTGAGCACAGGCAGGCCCAGGTGCCGGCTGCAGCCCCCCGCAAGCCAGGCCTCTGTTGCCAAGTGAGAGGAGGCTGGCTCATAAAATGGGGCAAGCAAAGGCTTGGGCCAGCCTGTCACCTGGGCCAGTGCCAACGGGCAGCCGAGGCTCCCGCCTCCCAGCTCTTTCCCACAGGGATCTGCTGGCACAGCATCTCCCTGACCCCCGGGACTTGGCACTCGTGAGTCGACACGGTTCCAGGAGCCACATGCCTGTACAGACAATAAGCTAATTGTGGCCCTCAGCACCCAGCCTGGAGGTGAGGGAAACAGGGCTGAATTCACTGCCTGCTGCAGCTCGTCCCGCTGCCCTGGAGGCCATTTTAGAGAGGAATGTTTCAGAGGGGTTCTGCAGGGTGCACAGGAGTTGGCCAGGAAGAGGACATGTGATTTGTACACTCCAGGCAACCAGGGACAAAGGAAATCGAGACCAACGGGGAGCACACACCATCACACTGCTGCAGGATCTCCTCCGCGGTGGCGTCGTAGTGGGCCAGGGGGTTGCTGGCATTGCGGTACTGTGCAGAGAGAGCCAAGGGCCAGGAGTGTGAAGGCCTCCGCCACACCAGCCACCACCGGCTGGCCCCCAGCTCAGTGGAGGGCCAGGGAGCAGCCCAAGGCCCGGGGCAGAGGCCCCCCAGAACACACAGCTCCTGTTCAGCCAGACACGTCCAGGAGGAATCGAGTCTGCCGCCCGCAGAACGCTGAGGGCCTCGCTGAGCCACAGCTGGCAGCACACAGGGCCGCAGGCCTGTGGCTCCACGGGCAGGAGCACCACAGGCCCAGCGGCAGGCCCAGCGCCCACCACACCGCCCAGAGCCCGCGGAGCCCCAGGATCTCTCTGGTGGGTGCAGGACCAACCCCGGACGCCCGGGCTGCAGCACCTCACCTGGTCCAGGATGTGGGAATTGGGGATCTCGTTCTTCAGCCGCCACGCCACGCCCACATGGGACTCGGGGGAGTCGAACCTGGCGTTGGTGGGCGTCCTCACGATCTCCGCCCCCAGGGCCCGCAGGACATCCACCTGCAGGTGGAGAGCCACGCCTCGTCCTCCCGTCAGGCCTGAGTTGGGGCCTGCCGCGCCCCGCACCCGGCACCCAGCACCCACCTTCTCCATGCTCATCTTCTCCGGCATCACGATGATGCAGCGATAGCCCTTCACAGCTGCAGCCAGCGCCAGCCCGATCCCTGGGGGCAGCACGGAGGGTGTGAGGGGCCCGGGGGCTGGCCCTGCCCCTCCCTGTCAGGACACCAGGGACAAGCCCCAAGTCCAGATGCCCTGCCAGGAAGGCCCTGGGCAGAGTACTGAGGACGTCCAAAACCCACCACGGCACCTGCCACCCCACGTGGGGCCAAGGGAAGGCAGAGGCAGAACCACAGGCACCTCTGCTCAGGAGGAAGAGCCCGGGGTCAGGATAGGACAGCAGCTGCAGCGGCCAGTGCAGAGCCAGCTGTGTTCACCCAGGAGGTCCTGAGTGGGAGGGTGGCCAGGGGACAGCCAGCACCCGCCACCTCCTGCTGCTCCCTGCACCAACCTGTGTTCCCAGATGTCGGCTCAATGATCGTGTCCCCGGGTTTCAGGGTCCCATCGCGCTCGGCGTCCTCAATCATGCGCAGGCTGATGCGGTCCTTCACACTCCCGCCCGCGTTGAAGAACTCACACTTGGCCACTGGGAGCCAGAGATGGTTCAGGAGGGAGAAGACCCGGACCCCGATGGACTCCTGCTTACCCTCTGGCTACCAGACGCACCCCAGCGTGGCCCCAGGTTTGGGCTTACCCACTCTGGAAGTCGCCCCTCCACACCCCTGCACCTGGGTGCTGGCGGATCAGGGCTTTCCCACTGCAGGCCACGCACACACCCCTACGGGGCACAGGGCGGCTCTGCGAGAGCGAGGAAAAGGCACCAAGGAGCCCCCACCGGGTGGACAGGCCACAATGTGTCCTGAGGCAGGCAGTCCCACTGCAGCAGGTAGGACTGCAGCAGGGCTGGCTGTGAGTCCCACACCCGGGGCCAGCTGAACTGGCGGGCCCTGCTGAGCATCACCTTGATTGCCCTCCAGCCGCCGCTGGGGTCACTCCCCTGCCTGAAGCCTCTCCCAACTGCGCTCTGAGGCCAGGGGCCTAGCCTGGGCTCTTCTTCCTTTAGGGAAGGCCTCTCCCCCAGCCCTCAAAGTCTTTAGTTTTCCAAGGGGGTGGGTATTAGTCTGCACCAGTACGGTTTGAAGGGCCCTGGACTGACCTGCAACACCCACAAGCCACCCCCTCCTGGCTCATCCGTGTTTCTGAAAACCACAACCACACACTTCACCCCAGAACCAGGTGGAGGCGCTGTGGTTTGGGGTGGGGGGTGGGGTGACCGAGAGGCCTGCATCCCAGAGAGTCACCGGGAGGACGCCTCTCACAGCTGGGGACGGCCCTGCTTGGGAATCCAGCTGCAGGGCCAGGCTGGCCCCCCTCGAGGCCACTACCAAGTGCAGACGTGGTCTGAGCAGCTTGGCTGGTGCCCTAGCCACCTCTGTACCGCCTGACAAAGGGACACAGCCCTGGTCTCCTGAAGGGGCTGTTCTGGAGCCGTCTAGGTGCCTGGCAGTGCTCAGGGAGCGGGTCCGCTTCTCTAGGGGGCGGGCAGGAGCCAGGCCCCCAGGCCCTCCACGCCCAGTGCCTCCTGCTGTCTCAGGACACCCCAAGGCAGGGACATCTCCTCTCCATGCAGCAGGGACCTGGACTAACAAGCCAGGTTCCTGGTCCCCAGCCTGTCCCCAGGCTCCTGGCCCTTCCGGCTGCCCTACTGCTGATTCCGACCCCAGACCCCGCTCCCTGGGGCTCAGGGGTGCCGGCCTCTCCCCCAGGAGGGTGCCCCTGCCTCTTCTGCTCTGGGAGCAGCTCCTTTACCCAGCAAAGGCTGAGGTAAGGTCCAGTGTTCACTGCGGCTGCTGACCTCCCAGGCCACTTCTGCCCCGTCAGGGACTGGCTGAGCTCGGTCCCCACTACTGACATGGAAAATGAAAACCCCAACAGTGAGGCCTGGGAGAAAGAAATAGGAAGAGCCACACAGCGACGATTTCCCTCCCACCCAGATGCCAGCCACGGGGGGAGGCAGTGTCCCCTCCAACCACAAGTGACACTCTCTAGGAAACCCTGATCTCTTCCAAGACAACTGCTCCCAGGCACTGGCCACCGGCCCCCTGCTCGCGGTCCCACTTCCCGAGAGCATAAAGCGACCTGTTGAGCGGCTCATTTTCCACCAGGGAAGTGGGCCCACGCCCCAGTGGTCCCATTCCTGAATAAAGGCTGAAATGACCTGTGACGTGTGTCCGGCCGTCTCTCTGTTCTAACACTCACGAGCCAGCTGGACGGAGATGGACCCTTCCGGTCCGTTGATGGCCACACCCCTACCTAGGACTTGCCCACTTCCCCTGAAGTGGCCCGAGGGAAGCCCTGGGCACAATCTGCTCCGCTCTGCCTTGGGGTCCTCACCTCGCTCCTCACTCAAGGTCAACTCCCCGCTGCGGGCAGCTCCGGGTGGCCCCTGCTCACCCTGACGAAGCCCTGCGGCACTTCCTTCTCCAACTCTACTCACGTGACCTCCCCCTGAGCCACGCAGGCTGCCTGCCCCACCGCCTGCGGGCCACGCCTCATCTGGGGTCCCTCCCAGGGTCGGGGAGCGCGGGGCGGCACTCACGGAGCTCGCACTTGAGGCCAGCGCTCTTCCCGATCTTGTTGATCCTGACCATCGGGGTGTTCCCGATTTTCCTCAGAATATCTGGCAAGATTTTTGGAGAATTTGTCCTAAAACGAAAAGGGAGTCCACAATCACTCAGACGAACAAGACTAGACACCAACAGTACGGACAGGCAGTCCAGCTGCCCTCTTACAAAGCGAACCAAGGACCACGGGGCTGGCTGCGGGGAGGGTCTGGACGCCCAACAAGCCACAGGCGGGGAAAAATGACATCACAACACACGCACGCACACACACGCACACACACACACACACACGCCCTCCTAACACCTGCCAAGCCCAAACACAGTAATGCCTGTGGATCAGCCAAGGGCCCTGGAATGTACCACATTTGTGTCCTGATCTGAACATGTCCTTTGGTCACCTAAGACCTTATCAGTGGTAATGTGGTGACAGGTGCAAAGAACCTTTATTATTTTTGCAATTTCTTGTGAGTTTTAAAATAATTTTCCAGTAAAAAAAAAAAGTTAACAGCCAGGTGTGGTGGCACATGACTATAATCCCAGCGACCTGGGAGGCTGAGGCAGGAGGATAGCAAGTTTGAAGCCAGCCTCAGCAATTTAGAGAAACCCTGTCCCTCAAAATCAAAAGGGCTGAGGTGTAGTTCAGAGGAAGAGCACCTGCCCAGAGGGCACCAGGCTCTGGTTTCCTCCCATATCACAGGAGGGAAACTAGGTTGGAAACAACCTTGACTTCGAAACAACAGATCGGAGTCCCCGTTTCTAGGACATCTCTGCTGGAAATTCCAATCCCCCATCCCAGGGTCTGACTGCTAGGGTAGCTCTACTCCTCAGACCTCTGGCCAGCTAGGAGGACTGCAGGACCACAAGAAATGCCAGCAGTTCTACCCGACAAGATGGTGACAGGGACAGGGAGGCTGTGAGGCCAGCGGATGTCCACAGGTCTGTGTGCACAAAGTGGGGCCCAGGCAGGTTCCCAAATGACCTTCCTGTGGCTCCCTCCACCCCCAGCCAAAACCTCCCGAGAAGACTCCGTGGAGGGCCTGAGGGGGCCGGCCCCCACTCAGCGTCAGAGGGCAAGGATCGCCACACCCCAGTGGTCAGGCACAGCTGCCTGCCCTGCAGGCG